TTAACGATCTCTTTTTCAGTATTAAAGCGTCTTGTAGTGGCTTTGTTTATATCTCCTTTCATTATATTTTTTGTAATTTAGCTAATAGTAATACATATAGTTTAGTCAAGTTGGTTCTTTTATGCTGTAATGACTCAGTTTTAAGTGAAACTTAACTCTTTTTTTTTTATATGGTTGCACACATAGAAATTTTTTTCTTTTTTAATTGTTATATGTGAAAAAAAATTGGATGCTAATGTAAGAGTCTCTAAATATGTGTATACATCTAATTTAAAATTTAAAATTTCTTATTTTAATATTATTTACTTTAGTTTTTTATTATTAATATAAATTATATATAATTTCTTTATCTTTAATAATTTTTTAAAAATAATAATAGAATTTGTAAAATTTTTAATTTTCAATGTTAAAGTGGACCAATAAAAAATCTATACAAAATTTCTATATTCAGCAATAATATTAGAATTTGTAAACTTTCTTAATTTATTTATTTAGCAATAATATTAAAAAATTGTAAACTTTTCTTATTTTTGATTGTTGATATGTATCAATAAAATTGTCCTTTTTAATCCTATGTGGACACCTTTAGAAGCATTTAGCTTCAACTTTTATTAGTATAAGATTAAAACCAAGATATTCTCTTGCCTTTCAAAAGTTTTTTATTTTGTCCACAAAAAAAAACTTTTTTTCCAGAGCAAAATTCTCTCTACTATTAGCGTACTATAACATTATGGGTGGTGAAAGCTTGCTCAGTGATTTGAACATGTGGGAATCTGATTGGAAAATAGTGGTGAAGGTGTTGAAACGATGGGAGAACACTAATCCGGGCGATCTCAAATAGATTGATTTTATTCTGGTGGAGGAAGAGGTAAGTTTTTTTTTTTTTTTTTTTTTTTTTTTTTTTTCAGGAAGAGGTAAGTTTGGGTCTTGCTTGATCTCCTTATTAGTTATGAGAGGGTTTCAAAATACTCGCTTCCGTTGGAAATCGCTATCATGCATATTTCAAACATGTGATGCAAAAAGGGTTGTGGTTTGAGATAAGTGGATTCCTTCTCTGTCGGTCGAACAAGGAAAACAATTCGTTCAATATGACTAGGAGTGAATACACCATCCTTTTTAACCAGGAAACGCGGGTTCAATCGACCGATGTAATCTCCAACAGCCATCATATGAACTTCACTGACTTTGAATATGTGGTCAAGGCAAGGCGCGATGAGATCTACCCCGTTGGTAAGTGGATATACCGACACCTAAGATTAGAGCTGTCAAAATGGGTGGGCGACCCATGGGCTGTCCGCGTCCAACACATTTTGGACCGGTCATGGACAAGTCCATTTTTGAAACGGGTTGAAATGAGCTTCATCCAATTTCGCCCATAGACAAATCGGGGTAGATACTTTGGACATTGGTCCGTCCAATGGACAAAAAAAGTCATTTACTACAGTGAAAGAAAGGATTCATCAGCTTGTCTTTGCGGTACTTGTCCTGATAGCTTCATTTTATTTGACGCCAATATGTTTATTTATCTGGGGGGATATACAAAAGTCGTTTGTGTTGTACGTGTCTTTATTCATCAGTTGTTCACTGGAGGCAGTGGCGGATATGTATACAATGAGTTGGGGGCAGTTGCCCCCAATAAAAAAATAATTAGTGTAAATTTGTAACAATAATAATAGTTGCCCCCATAATAAATAATATATATGCTCCTATTAAATATGTTTTGCCCCCAATGGAAAAATGTTCTGGTTCCGCCACTGATTGGAGGAATAGGGCTGATTCAGCTATCGGAAAAGCTTAGGATGGAGATGGGAAATGCTTATCTCACTCTTTTCTCCTGTTGGTTATCTTGTCTTTTTGGCATTCTTATGTTCATAAGCCAAAAACAGGCAATAGTGGAAGCAATGATTTTTATATTCATGGGAACAGTTGTTAATTTTCTTTTTTATGGATCCTTGGGTATAATTTATGCTGGGAGCACAAGTTGGATACGTCCTCCGTTCCCCCCCCCCCCCCCTTCCTGCTTTAGTTCTTCTTTTTATGTTTTGTTTGGTTTAAAGAGGATTAATAGCTTGTTTGAGTACACATTTTTCTAATTAGAGCAATAAAAAAGACTTCAGCCAGTTTATATGTTAACGTGTCCCTTTTACCATTAATTTGAATTCAATTTAGCTACAAAATTACTCATATCCTTAGTTAGATGCGATTTTTATTATTATCAAATGATAATTTGGAGATAGGAATTGACCTAACATCATCGTGAACAAAAAGTAAACAAATAAGAAAAAACACCATCATGTTCTAGTTTGTGTTTTCGAACACACTTGAATAAATAAATATTTTTCTACAAAAGATGAAATTTATAGCTCAGCTACTAGAAAAAAGATTCTTCATAACATAGTTCCAAAGTATCCCTATTACAACCGTGGCTTCAGAATCGTCATTCAGCATAGGAAGTCACGTGTTAAACAAATATAGGAGTTCCCTTCTTCCTTCAAATGTGCAAGTCTTAATTTGCACAAGGAATTGGTTATGCGGATTTCAAGAGATTAGTAAGTTTTTTTACTTGTGTATTTTTGTCATCTTTAAATTCAACTGGAATCAAATTTCAAGAAAATAATAAGTTTTTTGTTATTTTATTGTGCTTAGGTGATCAGTTTGAGTTTATGGAGGAAGACAAGGAAGGTGAAGAAGACAATGAAGGAGATGAAGACGTTTAAAACAGTTGTGTTTTTGAATCTTATGAAACTTTGAAAACTTTGTTCTCTAGATTTTTGTGTTTATGTTTATTCTCTACATTTTGTTCTCTAAATTTTTTAATTTGGTATTTATGTTTGTTCTAATTAGACATTGTTCTCTAATATTTTGGATTTGGTATTTATGAATTATTGTCTATAGAACAAAGAAAAAAAAATGTTAAGTCTATGACCAGTGGACACCTATGGACAGCCCATTTGGACATGATCTTTAATGAACATGGTCTTTAATGGACATGGTCTTTAATGGTCATGGTCATTATTTGTCCATAATTGAAATAGTCAGTGACAACTCTACCTAAAATACATATATTTTCGTTAAAGGAGTCTAGATATGGGATCATAATTACTGGTCCATTTGTTCATTGATAGATTTGATTAGTGCGATAGAGTCGGTTGAACCTCTGCGGCCATACATAGAGAATGGGTCCTTCAAAAACTCTCTTAGGTTCCGCATCAAGAACTACAAGTATGTAATTTTGAATTTATATAATACTTTAGTGATTTTTATGGTTACTAATTCTTAGATCGTGTTGCAGTGATATCGTCTTGAACTGTGTTGTTTTTGGAGATCTGGCTGAAGTTTTTCATCGGGTATTGTCATCACATTCCCCTTTTTGCACCGATCAAGTCTCCCTGTTTTGTTGGTTCGCTGGAATGCCATAGGGAGCATCTAATGCCATGTTCTCCTGGCCCGATGAGTCTGTACCCAATGTTCGAGATTTTGATTGTGTTACCATGGTTGATGCCTGCTGTTCCTTCGGCTCCAAGTCTCCTTTTCCAGCTTCTCCATCTTTCAAGACATCCCCTTTCAAGCCTGATGTCAGGTACCGCTTATAAAATTCATTTGGAGGAATGTACCCAGATGGCTTTATGATCTTTGATGATCCTTCACAATATTTCCTTTCCACTCTGCCTTTAAGTTGTCCTTTGTCTTCTTCACCGTTTGTTCTTCCTCTGCCCTTGTATTGTCCGTGATAAGCATTGTTCACACTTCCACTCTTCACTGAGTCTCTGCTGCTATTACCACCGTACTTTTCTACCGCTTTATACGATGCTGACCCATTTCCGTTTCTCGACTCATCCGGGTAGCCTTCCTTCGTCTTTCGATCCTCATTCCCCATCTGAGTGGGACAACTTTGGTTTAGTAGAAGAAGAAAGTGGGCAAGAATTCTGATAAAGATCGATGTAAAATAGAAGACCAAGATCGACGAATTGGATTTGTATTAATGATATTACGAGTTTACAAGTGTGTTTCTAGCTGAAAATCAGATGATCTTTTACATAGAAATGACATCCTATTTATACTAAATAGATCGACTCGAACTCCTTCGAGATTTGCGGGATGTTACGATCTCCCATCTTCCGAGATCTTCAGGATCTTCTCTTATCCAGGTCGCTTACTCCTTGAAGTCTTCCACGATCTATCAAATATCCTTTCTAGGTGCTTTCTTCTTTTGTTAATGGGCTTTGGGCCCGTCAAAGCTGATGTAATGATCAACTCGAAGTATGGGCCAGACTGGTGCTAAGTCCAACACCAACATTTGCCCCCCAGCCCATTTAGTGAACTTCGAGCTGAAGGGGCGGACTACTTGCAGGATACTTCGATTTTTCCTCTTTTTAAGATTTTATCCGGACGGTTCAGATTGTTTTTCCTGTGAAGGAAGGGCTGAGATTTACTTAACCATCAAGGCTTAAGATTCTCTTCGATGCGATGTATCCAAATCTCACCGCGATATGGTAAAATCTTGTTCGCAGATGGCGATGAGCGGTTCAGGTTTGATCTCGCGAAGATTTTGTCAATCTCAATAGCAGTAATAATTGCTACTTTATAAGGATCAACTTCCCACGTCCTTTCACCATAACTGCACGCCTCCACTTTCTACAAGGTAACTTCTCACCTCCTCTTCTTTTTATTCTGGTTTTCAGTTTTTATCGACTTCCTTTGCTCGAAAAACAAAACAGTTTTATACTTTTCGCAAAACTTAGCTTCGAGAAAGATTTTATTTCGAAACATTCTCCGATGGATCATCCCAATGTCCCAACAGTCTCAATCGTTTCACCGAAAGAGCTTGCTCGCCTCCGCCGAGTTCACGATATTCCCTCGCCGATCGAACTCGCTGTTCCAGACAGAGGAGAGACGCCGAAAACCGTGCGCGCGCAGTCTTTGATGCGTGCGGGCTTTCCTTTCCGATTCCGCTGGGTCTCCTCACTATCCTGGCGGATCTGCAATTGGCGTTTCCGCAGATGAACCCCAACTTCGTCCGCCATGCCTTGGCGTTGCTGGTTAGAGCGGCAGAGTCTCGGATTCCTTTCGGAATCAACGAGCTCCACCGAGTTTGCTCCATTAAGAGCAACTCGTCCTTCCCGGGGTCATTCTACCTATCCCCTCGGAAGAATCAGAGCATCTTTGAGGACATTCCCGCTCGCAACGATCGCTGGAAGGAGAAGTATTTCTTCTTTAGGATCAACGAATACTCCGTTGGGTCCTTCGACTTTAATCGGTTGCCCACCAATTGGGCTCCGAGAGTTGGTTAGCATTAGGGTGCTTGATTGATTTTTTCATTATGTTAATAGCTCGTTGCTAACTATTTGCTTTTCCTTGTTCCACAGTTGTTCCGACGAACACTGGCTTAGACAAACCGCTGATTGCTGCTCGGAAGGACGGTGATTGTACGTGGCCCAACTTTACAAGGGAGAGGATCCGTCGTGCGCTTGGAACGGATAGCCCGCAGCCCGCTATTGCTCCAGAATCCGAGATTGACCCGTTGAACCCGCTGTCTATCAATCGCCCAGCTAATTTTCATCAGATCCCGATTGGTTAGTCCGAACGTTTCATTTTGCTCGAACTACGCATTCGATCTGACGAGCTATTACATAATTTGCTATTTTTCGTTTCCAGGTACTAGCTGTCGGGAAGTTCCAGACGCAACCTCTTCGAGCACCTCACATCAGCCTTTGGTCCGCAGGCCATCTAAAGGGAAAATGACTAGGAGACCATCAGCTTGCGAGGCCGAAAAGGCCAGGAAGAACAGGGCTCAAGCTGGGAGCTCCGGAGCTGTCCGTACTGGTGAGATCCGTCGCGCTGTGAGCGACGCGCTTGAACAAGCCTCTGGGGCTTACGAGACTCCGGCCGGAGCTCTTCCCGCCGACCCAACATCGAGGGCTATCTCGCTTAGTTCGCGAGATTCAGAGAGGACTTCGCGTCCAAAGAAGCAAAGGGTGGAGGATCCGGCTCCGGATAGGAGGTCGAACTCCTCGAACGGGTCAGGTGGATCAATCCCGTATGGTTGGACCTTCAACCATACTAAAGGGTGTCCGATCGCTGATGATCGGGAGGGGGTAGCTTTCATTTTCCGGCACTTCAAGCCTCCGGGTTGCGTGCTGCCCCTAGTTTGGGATATGGCGGAGCATGCCGCCTATGTGAAGATGATGGCTGCTCACGGCCGGGTACGTGTTTTTACTTGTTGGCCTATTTTTATTTCTGGTGTGTGCTCGTACTAACGGGCTTTCTTTTGGTCAGGCTCTTGAGGCTGTCAACGAGTACTCTGCTGTACTTGAGGACAAGTCTCTGACCATGCCCACCTCTGACGAGCTCGAGGAGATGAAGAAGACTGTGTTCGACCTTTCGTCGAAGGTCAAGAACGCGGAAGACAAGGAAAAGCGTCTGGAGACCCAGCTTCGATCTGCGAAGACGGTGGCGGACTCTGCGAGCCGGCGTGCTGACGATCTGACCGAACAGGTTCGTGGTCTCAAGGAGGAGGTCGATGCGAAGGTCAGGCGGGCTGTTAGGGAGGCGAAGCGGGAGTTCGCTGAGAAATATCTGGCCATCTTCCATTCTCTTAAGGATAAGTGGGAGAAGAAGAAGGTCGAGGCTGCATGTGAGGCAGAGCTCCAAGAGGTTGAGTCCAACTTGGATCTCATTAAGGACCTAATCAGCGGAGCTATCAAAGCTCCGGACGAAAAAGCTCGCCTCGAAGAGAAGATTCCCGAGCTCGCACAGAAGCATGCTAACGCGGAGGTGTCCGACTTCTCTCTTGCCAAGCTCGATCTTCCGCAGGTCTCGGAGGCGTCCGTGAGGCCGATGGAGGTTGATCCGGTGACGCAGGTTCCTCTTGGGCTCAACCAGTTTGGAAGTAATGCCGCTGCCGGAGGTGGAGATGAGTTGGTGGACGATTCAGCGATCCCAATGGAGAAGGAGGGTGGCGAGAACTAGCCTAAGGAGTGATCCTCCTTTTTCCTTAGCCCCTCCTCTTTTTCTTTTTTTATGAACTTAGTTGCCTGTAAGGCTTTTTCTTTTGTTTCATCGCACTTTCAGTACTCTTGTTGCCCGGGAGGGTTTTAATGCGTACTTGGTCGTTTTGCCCGGAGGAGGCTATTTTACTTTGCTTTCGAATTTGTTTTCGCTTTTCGATTTCGTCTATGTTATCAATTTTCTTGATTGTCTTTTAAGACTTAGAGAAAGAATTGTTGAAAAGACTTGTTGTTTAGGCAGTGCCGAAGTGATTACTATGTGATCGTTTACGGAGATCGCGTCATAGTACTAAGTTGCGAGCAACGAACTGTGATAGTAACTTTATTTTGTAAGCGCTAAGTTACTCAGCGAGCTGCGAGCTGTGCGGTTGTTTTAAACAGATCGCTTATTGATAACTTACTGCGAATAACGGGGTTGTTGTAATTTTGTTTTCTTGTTTGTTAGCAAGCCGTAATCTATAAGTTATGAGACCGTTTTGGGAGGTCGTTTGGAAGCTACCTAGAGTTAGCACCGAACTAAGCTGAGATTGTTCGGCTCAATCGATGCTTAGCGGGCTATGAGCCTCGAGCTGTGAGATCGTTTGAAGAGATCGAAAGAGAGTGTTTTGAAACAAGGGTTTTTATTCACAAAACTTTTGATCACATACGTTTTTACAAAGTATTTGAGTATGTAAAGATAATGGCTGGACTCAATGTCGAGCTGCCTACGTACCCCGTCAAGGGATCAAGCCTAAACGTAGTTCGATTATTGTCAATGCTCAGAGATGGTAACGCTTGAGATTCATAACGTTCCATGGTCTTGCCTCTGGCACTCCGGTTTTATTGTTTGCGAGCTTATACACGCCGCTGCGTACTACTTCGATGACTCTATACGGGCCTTCCCAGTTTGTGCCTAGCTTGCCGGCGCCTCGCTCCTTAGTGTTGTCGAATACCTTGCGTAGCACGAGGTCGCCAATACTGAAGCTCCGGTGTTTGACTCCGGAATTGTAATAGCGAGCTGCGGCCTGCTGGTAATTCTGGATGCGGACCAGGGCTCGATCTTATTGTTCTTCGATCATATCTAGCCGATCTCTTAGCATTTCTTCATTGAGTTCCCCGTTATCCGGACAAAAGGTCCGACGGATGCTTGGTACCGATGCTTCGGCCGGGATAACAGCTTCCATGCCATAGGATAGAGAGAAAGGTGTTTCTCCCGTAGCTCGATGGGGCGTAGTCCTACACGCCCAAAGTACTCCGGGTAGCTCGTCACTCCACCGGGATTTCTTTGAATCCAACCTCTTTTTGAGGTTGCTTAGGAAGGTTTTGTTAGCGGCTTCCGCCTGTCCGTTACCTTGTGGGTATCGGGGTGTGGAGGATGTGAGCTTTATTTTCCAAGTATTACAGAACCTTGTGAATTTTCTCGATGTTAAGTTCGTTCCGTTGTCTGTTACGATCTCGTAAGGGAGGCCGTGTCTGCGGACAACGTTTTTCCAGACGAAATTTTCTTCCGATCCGGTGATTTGTTGGTAAGCTCGGGCTTCTATCCATTTAGTGAAATAGTCAGTTAGGACGAGTAGGAAGCGGACTCTAGCGCGTCCTGAGACCACCAGTGGTCCCACTACATCCATTGACCATCTCATGAATGGGTAGGGTGCGGATATTGAGGATAGCTTTTCAGCTGGTTGATGGGTCATTGGTGCATGCCTTTGGCACTTGTCGCACTTCGTGGCATAGTTTTTGCAGTCTGCGATGATAGTGGGCATAAAATAGCCTTTTCTTTTGATGCGGACTGCCATAGCTCGTCCTCCGGAGTGGCTTCCGCACATTCCTTCGTGCATTTCGGCCATAATTGTTAGGGCCTCGATACCGTGTACGCACAGGAGGTAGTGTTCTATCAAGCTACGCTTGTATAGTTTATCTTCCATTATGCAGTATCGAGCACTTTGAGCTTTTAACTTTCTTGCTGCCCATTTGTCGGTGGGAGCTATACCGTCTTGAATATACTCCGTGATTGGAGTTCTCCAATCTGGTCAATCTAAAAACTCTTTGCAGTCATCCAGTTCAGCCTCGGGCTCTGGATGAACGGGCTGGTTCTCGGTATCAGGCGGGGCATTGACCGGGCTATCGGGCTGGTTGGTCGTAGCTCCTGGCCCAGGTCTGTTGGATGGCCCGGCCTCGTCGGAGGTGGTTACCACGTTGACTGCCTTGTGAGTTAGGTCGATGCTTGGTTTTTCGATTCCTTCCATGGAAATCACCCTTTTGATCATTGGGTCGGAGGTGGATGCTAGGGCTGCCAGGGCATCGGCGGAGGTATTCTCCCCCCGAGGAATTCTGGTTAGCTCGAATGAGCTAAACTGATTTGCTATTTGGTGGACGATGTTTAAGTATGCTTCCATCCGTTCATCTTTTGCTACGTAGTCGCCATGAAATTGGCTGTTTACGAGCTGAGAGTCGCTGAACGAGCTTATTTCTCGAACTCCGATCCCGAGAGCTAGCCTGAGACCGGCTATGAGGGCTTCGTATTCGGCCTCATTGTTGGAGGCCTGTAATCCTAGTCTGAAAGACTGTTCGAGGACTTCATTTTTCGGGGAAACTAGTTTGATTCCAACTCCTGATCCTTGTTTTGACGACGCGCCATCCACGTGGAGTGTCCACTTTTGGCTGGATGGTGATGCATCGTCCGGATATGGGGTAAGCTCGATGACGAAGTCCGCTAGGACTTGGGCTTTCGCACAAGTCCGGATTTTGTACTCTATATCGTACTCGCTTAGTTCGATAGCCCATTTCGCGAGCCGTCCGGATTGGCTCGGACTGTGCAATATAGTGCGAAGGGGTTGGGAGGTCATTACTACTATGGAATGTGACTGAAAGTATGGTCGTAACTTTCTGGCGGACATTACGACCGCTAGAGCTAGCTTTTCCATAGCAGGGTACCTCGTTTCGGAGTCTACTAGTGTTTTACTCACATAGTAGATTGGTTTCTGCTCGTTCTGTTCTTCTCGAACAAGCACGCCGCTTACTGCGGCTGGAGATACCGCTATGTAGATGTACAAAGGTTCTCCTTCTACTGGCTTGGCTAGTATGGGCGGTTCACTCAAGTAGGCCTTGAGCTGTTTGAACGCCGTTTCACACTCATCATTCCATTGGAACTTTTTGTTCCCTTTTAGGAGTTGGTAAAAGGGTAAACATTTGTCAGTCGACCTTGAAATAAAACGGTTGAGGGCTGCTATTCGCCCCGTTAACCTTTGGACTTCCCTCGTGGTTTTGGGGGATAGCATTTCGAGGAAGGTTGCGATCTGTTTGGGATTTGCTTCTATTCCTCTTTCGGTTACGATGTAACCAAGGAATTCTCCATATGGTACTCTGAATGAGCATTTGGTCGGATTGAGTTTCATTCTGTATTGGTTCAGTATTGCGAAGCATTCTTTCAGCTGTGCAACATGGTCTTCTTCTTTCGAAGATTTAACGAGCATGTCATCGATATAGACCTCCATAGTTTTACCGAGCTGTTCAGCGAACATTTTATTGACTAGGCGCTAGTAAGTAGCTCCCGCGTTCTTTAGACCGAATGGCATTACTTTGTAACAGTATGTGCCGCGGTCTGTTATGAATGCGGTCTTCTCTTGGTCTTCAGGGTTCATGAGTATTTAGTTGTACCCTGAGAAAGCGTCCATGAAGGACAATAGTTCGTGTCATGCTGTAGCTTCTACCAATCGATCTATGTGAGGGAGCGGGAAGCTGTCTTTCGGGCATGCTTTGTTTAGGTCGGTGAAGTCTACACAGACTCTCCACTTCCCATTTTTCTTTTTAACAACCACCGGATTGGTTAGCCAATCTGGGTACTTAACTTCCCTAATTGATCCGACTTTAAGTAGCCGGTCCACCTCGTCATTTACTGCTTTGGCTCGGTCCAAGCCGAGCTTGCGGCGTTTTTGTTTGACGGGTTTGAAGGTCGGGTTGACATTCAGTTCGTGGGAGGTTATTTGCAAGTCAATTCCAGGCATGTCCTCTGGGGACCATGCGAAGGTTGCAATATTCTCTTTGAGAAACTTTACGAGCTCGTCGCGGACAGAACTCGAGAGTTCTGATATGATGTTGACTACTCGGTCAGGGTGTTTTTCGTCGATACAGACTGGCTCGACAAGGTCCTTGCGTGGACCGCGAGTTGTGGGGTCGTTTCCCCGTTTCGCCTGCTGTTCGGCGAGTTCTTCTTGTTTCTGTAGTTGCTAGAAAGGGGATTGTTCGGTTTGCTTGTGTCCGGTCATGTAGCACATTCTGGAAGCTTGCTGGCTTCCGCGGACTGTCTTGACTCCCTCAGCGGTTGGAAACTTCACGCATTGATGGTATGTGGAAGGTACCGCTCTCATATTATAGAGCCATGGCCTCGCTAGTATGGCATTGTAGGGGGTGGAGCGGTCTATAACCTCGAATACTGTCAGTTGTTGGACTCCGCCAGCTACTACCGGGAGCGTGATAGTACCCATCGAATAGGTTGTTTCGCCTGCGAAGCCTGTTAGCGGCGATCTGGTGCCGCAGAGAATGTCGTCACCGAAGCCCATTTGTTTATATGCGTTATAGAATAACACGTCGACCGAGCTCCCGGTGTCGATCATAATCCTGTATAGCTCGCACCCCCCTACGTCTAGACGAACTACTAGACCATCGTCGTGTGGTTTGTCTAGATCGAGTGTTTCGCTTTTCAGGAAGACTACTTTGTGGTTGGGACCCTGTAGGGGAGCGCGCTCCCGCATATCGGTCTCGACCCTCCTTTGATAGGTTTTTATCGAATTTACTGAATTTCGGCAGTATTTGGAGCATCCCGATATGAAATTTTTTTCGCTTAGGCTTGGGTCGCTCGAAGAGTTCCAAGATTCCCTGGAACTTGGGAAGTTCCGATTTTGCAGACTTATGAGCTTCCACTAGCTGGTTGCCAGTTTGCGGTTTTGCATCCTTTTTGGGAGCGGGTGGAGGTGAGATTACCGA